GTGCCCCAGGTGGCAGCTCAGCCACACTCAGGCCTCGAGAGCCGCCCTCAGTCCTCCCTCCACATAGCAAGTGCTGCCTGCAGAGCCCTGTCATAGGGGCCGTGGGGTCTCACGCGACCCCCTCCTTCTGGAGTGGGGCCAGGGGTAGTAGCCCTCTGGGCAGGGGCAGGAGGAGGGGGAAGTATCCAGGGTGCTGCCCGCCATTGTGCTGTCCTTCAAGGGACCTGCTATCAGTGGGTGTTCGTACTGGGCAGGACCAGCCCCCTGGGAGAGACTGGGGGACGTTGCCTTTTCCGAGACTAACTGGCATCTTTCCAGGACTCCCTACAGCTGATTTCTTGTGATAAGTTTTAGATTGATTCCACCCTGGGAGAAAGGCCTGGAATCACAGTCAGATCTGCTGCACTTTTGTTTTGTGTTCCTTTGGCTTTTAAAACCCTTGTTCCCACATGAGAGCCCCCACCCCTTGGACAATGGCAAGACCCAGATTAAGTCGCCCACAGCCAGCCCGTGTGCCGCCACCGAGGTGGGGGTGGGGGTGGGGGTGGAAGCCCGTGTTGTGTGTGTCTGTGAGGCCTGGGCAGGTGCCCCCGCTGCTGTCCTGCTGTCCCAGACGGGGCCACCCCCCTCACCTGGGAGTCAGGGAGAGCCTGGGCCCGTGGCTCCAGAGGGCTTGCTGGCAGCGTGGGCTGTGGGTCGTCCGGGAGGGGGTGGGGGGGTGGTGTGTCGGGCACCGGGAGTCAGGGAGAGGCCGGGACCTGGCGGGCGTCTTCCCGATGACACCGCCCGCCCTCCTCCCTACCTCCCTTCCAGTTCGGGGTGTTCACTGGGCTGACTGACCTCCCCCATCCTCGCCACCACCCCTGCCAGAAGCCGGGAGGCGGAGTGCTCACCGGCTCCGCGGCCGGGCCTCAGTGATGGGCTCTGGAAAGGCGGTCCGCCGATCCGTCGTGTGAAGAAGCACAGCCTCTCTTCCCGGCTCGGGTGTCGAGCGGGGTGCGGAGGGGAGCGGGGTCCTGGGCGCTCAGACTCGTCACCCGACCCCGAGCCTCGGTGTCACAAACAGGACGTACGTGTTGCAGACGTGGGTAAGAACAGCCCGTTTGCTAGGGACCAGGGACCCGAGCCCTTCGCCCCGTGAAGGTGCCCCAGCGCGGTACACGGCGGAAGAGATGGCCGTCGGCCTGAGAGTCCACCCTGGAGACTGACGCCCGGCCTGGGCAGCGTCCCCTGGCGCCTAAATTGGGCTTTACTTTTTACTACAGTTCTGTTCCTCTCTTTCTAACTTGCCGCGTACCGAAAGGTACGCCAGATAACCCGTTTCCCACCGCGGCGAGGCGGTGTGCGAGGACGGGTCCCTGCAGAAGGCAGCTTCCGGGACCCCAGGCGTCTCCACCGTTCCCATTCGCAGGTGTCCGTGGCGCTCGCAAAGGGTGCCCCTCTGTCTCTGGCCTGACATTTGGGATGGATGCCCTGATCCCGTTTTGGATCTTGTTTGCTCCTGACCGCATCGAGGTCACGGTGCCAGCTGAGGACACGGAGACATTGTGCCCTATTCAGAGTCCTCATCTGGACTCCCCTGCTCCCGCGGGCTCCTCGTTGACACTCAGCTAAAGGCCGTCCCACCTCTGCTGCTGCTCAGCTAAAGGGCCGTCCCACCCCTTTCGTGGTGCCACGAAAGCGGCCAGATGTCCTGCTCCTGTCGGGTGTCCTGGGTTTGGCCTGCCCTACGGATTGTCACAAGGCACGGCTTCGCTGGGACGGTCGGCAGCCTGCGGGCGCCCTCCGCTCACTCGCCCGCTCCTGTGTGCGCCTGCGCCGGGTTTATTCCGTGTTCATCTTACGTACAGTGCGTGCACGCGGGCCCGTTACCGCAGCGGACGCACGGGTCCTTGTCTTTCGGTAGTTTATAATCGTCTTGGTGCTCACGGTGCACCGGATCTGGCCAGTGAGAACCGTCCGGCTAGGTCCCCGTGTCCTTTTGCTGTGACTTTGCTGTTTTCTTGAAGCTTTTCTTCCTTCTGGCAAGAAAGCATGTGGCAAGGCTTACTCCGTACCTCCCTGTTCTGGCCGGGTCGGCTGTTTATCTGGGGAGCCCGGCTTCTCCTGGGGGGAGGGCTTGGGTGTCGGTGGGCCCCCAGCCGCTCAGGTCCTTTCTGGCCCCTTTGAGCAGTTGGAGCCGGGGTACATGTGACATGCCCGCCCATGCGTGCACACGGGTCCCGTGTGCCCTCGTGCACGTGTTCTCAGTTCAGAGATCTCGGGGTTCACTGGCCCCCCACGGTTCCATCACCCTCAGGCCCTTCTTGCCTGCCCCTTCTCCCTTCCGCGTTGCATCTCCCACTGCCCACCCGAGAACCACTCTGGGTTCACTGGCGAACATGCACGACCCATAATACGTGTGAAAGTTTCAGGATCGCTTCGGCCACGCCGCATCGGAAGACGAGGGGACACACACCGGTGACGCGGTAATAGTGCCTCCACCCCTCCAAGGGGATGCGGGGTCTGGGAAGCGTCACGGTCATGATCAAGGGTCAGTTATTAAGCACAAAGAGAATTAGGAAATCGCACTCGGTGCCAGCGCCGGCTCCCAGCTCGGCCTTTGTGAGCCCTTGCTGGGGTTGCAGGGCCTGAGTAGCCGGGAGAGCTGGGTTACCAGGAAACAACAAAGCAATCCCACGCCTTGATTTTATCTTGTGGCGTTCCTGACAAAATAATTAAATCAGCCTCTGCTCCCGAGCAAATGCTTTGCAAAGGGGCTGTGCTCGAAGGGGCCGGGTAGCCTGCGCACAGAGCCTGCCTGGCTTTGCCGTCTCTGCACTGTCTCCCTGGCACCGGCTCAGAAGAGGCTCCAGAGGCCGCCTGTCCGGCCTCCAGCGCAGTAAGGGTTCCTTCTTGGGAAGTCGGGACCTCTACCTTGCACTTCTGCTTCCAGTGACTATCCAGTGGGCCCTCAGTTCTGCTACCAGCTTCCACATCTGGACACAGCTTCCAGAGGTTAGAGGTAGGAGCTGTGTCTGACCCCGTTGGACCTGTGCCCCGGTCAAGCGCCAGCGCAAAAGGCCTGTTGAGGGACCGTTCGGGAGCAAGAGTTGGCTTCTGGGCGCAGGGCCAGCCTCTCCCGGCTTTCACGGGGTGTCTGCCACGAGGACAGAGGCCCTCGCGGAGGCCCCTCTGACCGATGCTTTGGGGCTTTGCTCAGACACGGTTCCTGCCCGGAGGTCTTTGGAAGGGACCTCCCGTCTGCTCCTTCCTGCCCAGAACATCCCGTCTGGACAGGGTCGAGCCTGGGACTTTGACTGACCTCTTGATCCTCGGGTGCCGTAGAGGAAGGGATGTGGGTTTTGGAGACCGGGGCTGGGCGTTGGTTCCTGGCTACGTCGTTACCCTTGAAGATTTTGAGCGGTTCAGGACTCTGGGTAACGGGGGCAGTGTGTACATCGTGGGTTTTTTGGCAGGATCGGAGACGAGGCCTGGCCTTATTCCCCAGTGTGTCGTCCGTCTCCCCACCCGTCCTCGAGAACCACGGCCAGACAGCATGGGTCTCCCGGCCCTGCGCTCCGTCAAGCACCTGTCCCTCGCTGCTCGTCACGCTGGGAATGGTGCACATTTGATGAGCCCCTTGCACGTCTCAGACGCTCCAGGCTGGGGCACCCGTCTGAGCCTTGGCTCTGCAACTGGGAGTCATCAGCACTGGGCCAAAGGGGGGACTTGGTGACGAGCAGGGAATGAGGGCCAGGGGCTTGGGCAGTGCCTTCTGCCCCAGCTGGGCCCTGGCGGGGGGGGCAGACCCCCCCCCCCCGAGAAGCTGTTCACAGAGAGCTCTGAGGACGCGGGAGGGAAGGCATCTTAGACCCCCTCCCGGCTCTTAGAGGACGAGGTGTGTCAACGGCGTGTCTGTGCCCTTTGCGGACTTGTGACTTTTGCGGGTTCTGGGGAGGCGGAGGGCGGAGGGAGGACTCTTCCCTGGAAGTTACTCCGGCATCTAGATCACCGGCTCACCCTACCGTGGCTGTAGGGTGGGTGTTCTGGGACAGCGCCGCGGGCCGGCTCATGCGGCAACCCCACGGTGGTGTTCCACACGCCTGACCTGCTGGTTCGTGGGAACCGTCCCCAGCTGTCGGTCGGTCTTCCTGTCCTGCATTTGGGATGTTTATTTAGAAAGTGAGTCTTAAGTGGGACTTCGGTGCTGGAGACGGCATTTCTGCGAGGTCACAGTTGGTCACTGAAAATATTTACTTGGGACGGATACTCTGTCTCTTGGTGATTTGCACCCATAAAACCCATTTAAACTACAGATGGCTCATTTGCTGTTACCTAAACACTGTCTCACCTCTCCTTCGGGAAGCCTTGCCTGTGTGAAGGTCCTTGAGGGCCCCACTTTTCTGCGGAGGCGGTCCCCTGGGTGGAGTATGTGGGGCAGGAGGAGTAGGGTTCACATTGATCCTGGCTTAGCCTGCACTGGAGGCCGGGGGCCCCCAACCCCAGCCCGCACTGGGGGCCGGGGGGTCCCCAGTCATAGCCCGCATTGGAGGCCACGGCTCCCCGGGCAGCATGAATGGATGGGGCCCCTCTGGCCTCAGCCACGTTGGAAGGCAGGGGCCGTAGCTTGTGTGCATTAGGGGACGGGGTCCCCAGGCTGGCCCGTGTCAGAGGACGGGAAACCACCCCCACCGAGCTGCCTCAGGAGCACCCTGAGCTACTACAGACTCCACGCCCTGATGCGGACAGTACAGAACCTTCTGGAAGAGCCAGGGCATGTGGTCCGTCTGCAGTAAAGCTCGCTTTGGCCCTTGGAGGTTGTGCGGCAGTGTCTGACATCTTAGAGACGCCGGGTGCGTGCGGGTGACCGGACGTTGATGCCGACCTCGTGAGTGAGGATGGGCGGCGAGCCCCAGGTGTGTGTTTTCCTCATGAGGAAAGACCGACTGCGCTGCCGGGGCCCCAGCCCGCCCCCGCCCCCCGCCCCCCATCCACGGGGAACAACCCGGAGCACTGAGAATCAGCACGTGACTATGTTTTATTGACGAGGCCTCACCGTTCCTGGCGGTCGCGAGGTTTGCTCTTCTACATTTTAGAGCAAATGGTTTACGCTGCCTTCATCTTCGCCCCCACCATCGTTCCCAGAGGCCAGCTTTGTACCGCGCACGCTCCACCCCCCCCCCCGACCTGCCCCTCGCGGTCTCGATCCGTGGTGGCGTGGGTGCAGGTAACACCATAAACGGGCAGCGGTGGGCCGGCGACCCGGACGGCAGCGGCGTCTCTGGTTGGAGAAGAACCTTCCGGCAGAGGCAGCTCGGGTGCTCAGGGTCACTTAGCCGGTGACGGCGAGCGGCTGTTCTGAGCGGGCTGCCGGGAGAAGGGCTTCTCCGTTCCTGTCTCGCCCGAGCACACTTGTCCGTACCACAAGGAAGCCACGTGCCGCAGACGTGGAGAACGGAGCACACCGTCCAAGTCACATCTCCTCAGCGTGTTCTGTCCAGACTTCATTTTTCCCGAGGATGGCAGACTTACGGCGGATCGACCTCGAAACTGAGGGATTTCCTCCAAAGCGTCCCCTTCTTTCTGCTTTCATTGGCCGGCGTGAGACACGTCTTCTGCTGCGGGACACGGTGTGGAGTGGAGTGTGAGCCCACGCTGGTCCCCGTGCCCAGCCGCCAGCGCCGCGAGCTGCCTCCGTGAGCGGGGGTGGGGAGCCCCGGCGCTGTGCGCACGGCCCAGAGTCAAGGTGGCTGGCGGCGAGGGCTCCTCGGGGCCCGGGTGTGCCCGCAGCTGGGGCACGGACGGTCCGGCATGTTCCGACCGGGCTCAGGCCGTGGCGTGCGGCCCAGCCCTTCCTCCGCCTGGCCGCGGGGCCGACTCAGCGTTTGGTCTCCGCCGGTCCGGCTCCGCCGTCTCTACACCGCGCTGCTGAACTTCACATCGGACTGCTCGGTGCTCTCCGGGATGACCGCCTTCAGGGCAGCGTGGCAGAAGCGGTTCAGGGCCGACACGCTGGTTTTCTGCTCGATGTACAGCCTCAGTTTGTCCCTGAAGGTCTCCCCCAGGAAGCTGTAGATGAGGGGGTTCAGGCAGCTGTTGGAGAAAGCCGCGAGGTTGACAATGTGGCCGGTCAGGGGGTAGGCGTGGCGGAAAGACTGCTGGCAGGGAGCGGCTCCCGGCTGCGTGCGCTGCAGCAGGTGAACGCTGATGAACACGTTCTCGGGCAGCCAGCAGATGAAGAAGACGAGGACCACGGCGAAGATCATGCGGAGGGCTTTCTGCCTCCGGGGGCGCAGGCCTCGGTGCCTGTGAGCCTTGACGAGAACCCGGACGATGAGCGAGTAGCACAGGCCGATGATGGCGAAGGGGATGATGAAGCCCAGGGTGACCTCGAGCCACTGGATCTCCTTGACGTCCGCGAAGCAGAAGCAGACCTCCTCCGTGTGCTGCAGGTGCACCGCGGTGAAGGGCACCAGCGTGGCGGAGACGGAGGCCATCCAGATGAGGCCGCAGCTCAGCCTGGCGTGGTGCTTGGTGCGGAACGGGCCGGAGCGCATGGCCTTGGCCAGGGCGAGGTACCGGTCGAAGCTCATCCACGTGAGGAAGAAGATGCTGCTGTACATGTTGATCTGCAGGAAGAGGGACATGAAGGTACACAGCACGGCGATGTCGTAGTACTGCTCGTCCAGGTTGAACACCTCGATCAGGGAGTCGGCCACCAGGATGAGGTCGGCCGCCGCCAGGTTGATGAAGTACAAGTCGGGGATGGTCATCTTCTCCCGGAAGCTGATGTTCACCACCAGTATCAGGATGTTCCCCACGAAGCCGATGGGGAAGAGGAAGATGGTGTACAAGCAGGACAGGAAAAGCCCGATCACGTACTGCTGGTGCTCGGAGAGCTCGCCCGTCTGGTTTGCCAGGACGCTGCCGGGGAGCGTGCGGGACAGGTTGAGCTCCGGGGAGGTGCCGTTGTAAGCGGCCGCGTGCGTCTCCATGCCAGAGACGGGCGCTGGGGGCGTCTCGTCCGTGTCCCCGGGGGCACAGCTGTCAGGGTCTGCCTCACGGCTCACAGAAACCCGACGTGCACAGTCAGTCCGTCTCCGGAAAGATAGGCGATGCTCTGTGAAGTGAGCCAGGCGTTTGCAAAATCCGAACTCCTCCCGGGCAGCGCTGGAGGTGGCGCGGGTCTGTTCCGCGGGCAGCCGGGCAGCCGGAAAAGGCCCTCCATGTCCACACCACGGGCGGCGCCTCGCCTGGGCCCCTGGGGGGCGGCGGCCGCTGCGGTCAGGCCCGCCGGGTGGCGCTCACCACCCGCACACCTGAGAGAAAGAGACAGAAGAGCGGTGAGTCTGTGACTCGAGTCTTCACGGCTCTCCGCCAGGACGGACGCCGTGGCGGCGGGTGGCCCGGGGGGACGGGTGGGGTGGGACGTGTGGTCTTGGCGTCTCGGAGATTTGGTTGTCACTGAGCTGAGGGAGAGGAGTTAAGTGCAGAAAGTGCCCCGTTTTCTGTCCCCAGGGCTCCCGGGCCGCTCAGTCCGAACCGGAGCCTGGGCGGTGAGTCATGCTAAAGCGCGGTGGACGCCTTTCTTAAAAATAGCTGAATAGCAGGCTTATGAAGTAACGCGGCCGTTGGGTCTGGAACTCTCAGGAAAAGTACTATCTGCCAGCAGAGGAAATCAGATTTACTTCGGCAGCTGTTGGAAGGAGGACCAAGATGGGAAGGGAAAAACCCAGCGTCTGTGAAGACGGCAGGCCCGGGGTGCTTGGAGGAAGCTGGAGCAGAGTCTCTCGCGATGCGACAGAAAACAGATCTAGGTTTTCCTGCTCCCCACGCTCGGGTGCCCCCACATGGAACTTTCTTCGTGATATGACCCGAAGGACCAAAAACAGTCCTTGGTTTAGGAAATAGTGTTCACTCAGCATTTTGATAAACTACCTGAAACAGCGAGTACGTTTCTGCAGTGATGTCTGTAACCTAGAAACTGCGTTAAAAATGCCTCAGCCGCCCACAGGTCTCGTGTCCGAGGCCGCCCACCGCGACCCGGCTCGGCCCGAGAGTCGGGGGGAAGGGAGGGGAGTGCTGTCGGCGGCCGTGTCTGGGCCGCCACTGCTGGGGGTGCTCCCGGCCTCCCGGGGCCGGGGGCCGCCACTGCTGGGGGTGCTCCCGGCCTCCCGGGGCCGGGGGCCCCCACAGAGGCCGAGGAAGCCGGCCCTGGCGCGTTAAAACGGCCTTGAGTTGTCTTTCTCCCGAGGGTTTTTGTTTGACCCTGTGAGACGGTCGGGGATCACTTTCGAAGTGTCGCCCAACCAGACTAGACGCTCACTGAACCCCTGCTCAGAAGTCTTGCTCCAAAGGAAACCCCGAAAAGCAGAGCAGAGAAAGACCAGTCTCGGCCTTCAGGTCAGATAGTGATCGGGAAGCGTTCGGCAAGCTTTGCTCGGCGGGCGTGGAGACGTCTGTGCTCTGTGTTGTGTCGTGTGTAGCAGATAATGCCAGCGTGGACCTCATGAATGTCTAGCGTTTAAAGCCTCTCTCGGTAACTTGTCTGTAAGGAGCACGCAGAGCGCTTGTTTGGCTCTCTAAGCACGGAAACCTGGGCCGCTTCCGACTGTCTTCAGAGGAAGACACAGTGAGGGGCCCTCGGCGCGCGCTTCCCGTCGTCGTCAACATAGGCTGCGCGGGCAGTTTTAAAGTGAGTCCTCTGCTCCCTTCCCATGCACATGAACCCGCTGATCCTTGACAAATACTCTTATTGTCACCGTGCTGTAATGACGGGACGCGGGAACAAGTGTGAGCTGGCTACTGACACAGCACCCTCGCGAAGGTGGACCGTGGATGTGTAAAGGCGAGTGTCATTGTGGTCTCGTTTTGGTTCGAGTTTCCACTGCCTGTCCAGCTCTAGAAAACTAAAACCAGGGGCTCAGTCGGTTGGGCGTCCGACTTCGGCCCTGGTCACGATGTCACAGTTCGTGGGTTTGAGCCCCGCGTCGAGCTCTGGGCTGACAGCTCGGAGCCTGGAGGCTGCTTGGGATTCTGTGTCTCCCCGTTCCCCCTCCCCTCTCTCTCTCTCTACCCTCCTCAGCTCATGCTCCGTCTCAAAAATGAATAAACATTAAAAAAAATTAAAAAAAAAAAAAAAAACTAAAACCACATTTTGTCAGGCCAGCTGGGTGTGTATCTTTGTGAAGGAACACCGGTCCACCCGGCCGTGTCGCCGGGCAAGCGTTTTTGTTGACTGGCTAACGTCCTAACCGGAGGCAGGGCCTCGCTTGACCAACATAGCGACAGAGCGCCGGGGAGTCAGGGGACTGCCGCGCTGGGCACGCGTTACAGAAAGAACCTTTGCAAAGCCTCCGCCCGCAGCCCCGCTGGGGCTGAGCCAGGTGCGGGTTCGTGTGCGGAGTAGAGGCTTTGTAGCCTCCGTGCCTCTCTCACCGCAGGGTGGCCTGTGTGCCCCCGTCTGCGTCCAGCTGTGACCACAGCGTGCCGCACCTGACGAGGGCCCACCGAGCCGGGCCCGCCCTCGGTCTCCCCTCCCATGATCGAAGAGGCTGCACGGCGGGTCCGCGGACTCCCACCGCGGCACCGACCCGAACGCAGAACCGGGAACCCGGGACCGAGACTCACCTGTGATGCAGCCGGCCACCCCAGCCCAGGCCGGCTCCGCGCGAGCCCTTCTCGTGTCCCTGGGAGGGCTTGTCGGCCGGCCTCGGCGGGTGCGCTCCCGGCAGGCTGGAGGTGCGGCCGAGACTCTCCCTCGGGTGGCGGGGATTCTGGCCTCGCTTCCCCCCGTCGAAGAATGCCGGAGCGGTGGTCCTGCAAGGGGACGCCTGCCTGGGGCACGAGGCCGACCGGTCAGAACGCCCGTCATTGCTGCGGACTCGGAGGCACCGCTGGCTTTATAGGCTTCCCAGGGCCGCCCATTGTGCTCTGCTGGACGGCCTCCCGAGGAGGCCGGCGTTAACCATTTTTTTGCCGGCTACTTTTCGCCCACGCCGTGGCAGTGAGCCCAGGCCCACCATGCATTTTTATAGACTTAACTGCTTTTCCTCACCCGCTGATTCGACTTTCTTAAGATTGAAAGCATCGTTAAGTAGGTTTTGTATACCTTTTAGGTGATGACCCATCGTCACCTACTGGAACTTAAGTACTCTTGCTTGTTTTTAAAACTAAACGGTAAATTTCCCGAACCTACAGAGTAGTGTGCAGGTTATACAGAGAATTTAACCTAGAAATTTCACAAAGGCATTTGCAGAAAGAAATTTAAACCTAAGATGTACCAGGTATTTGGGGCAAGCACGTTAGGAAGCAGAGTGGTTTCTCTGCCGTGGGGATGAATCGTGTCTCCTCTGTCTCCTTCCCTTTACTCTGGAAACCGCCGGAGTGCGCCTGCCCTGCAGGCTCTGTGACCAGCCACGGCCACAGCCCTTGTGCGCGGGGGGGGGAGGGGGGGGGGGCGCCGCCCC